CTTTAATCTTCTTGGCGATTCTTTGATGATGAAATTTAATCGTCATAATATCTTTTAACCGATTATATATTGTTTTACCTATCATTACGCCGATATGTAATATATTTTCTTTAATCTTACGCCTATCGGCTTTTTTATCCCTAATGGATCAGGTTAATATCACCTGCCTATTGCCCGGCTATCATCAGGCTATCTTCTAGGCTGATTAGTTGAAGATATTTGGATAATATTTTTGATTTCGACTAGTGAAAAAGCAAGGTTAGGTTGAGAATTGTAGAAGGTAAAACACTCAGCAATGTAGTGCTTGTTTGTTAATACTATAAACAAAGAGATTGATCAGGTTTCTGGTCCTGGGAACCAACAAGACAGGAGAGACTATTGGTGTTTGAGTGTTGTTTACCAGGCTGATGGGCCACTGTGAAGTCGTATTCTTGCAAAGACAAAACCTACCAGGCAAAACAACCTTGGGGCAGTATAATCCATAATAAAGACTTTAGAACTGAGTAGTCTATAACCAAAGTGAACTAACTCTTATAAAGATACTGCTAGAAGTAAGAGATCACCTATATAGCAGCCAGACACTCTTGTTCTGTTATTAAATAATTTCTTTTAGCAGAGGTGAGAGATTGACTGGCATAGTAAATGACTTTTTCTCTATCTTAAGAGTCTTTTTGGGATAAAATAGCCCTAATAGCTATACCAGAGATATTAGTAAAAAAAAGAAACAGGTTGTTGAAGTTAGAATAAGCCAAAATAAAGTTGGTAATAAGTTTTTCTTTAAGGGTAATAGAGGTAGCCTCTTAAGCACCTGTCTAAGAATACTTAGTATTCTTCTTTAATAGTATATTTAGAAGAGCAGCAATTTTCAAGAAGTTTTGAATAAACCAGCAATAATAGGAGACCAACTCTATAAATTTGTATAGTAGTTAGAGGTTAGTAGGAGTAGGAAAGTTCTTGATAGTTTTTACTTTAAAAGAGTCTGTAGAGATCCTGTTAGCATTAATAACATATTTTAGGAACTTAAGTTTTCTCTTTATAAAGTAGTATTTCTTGGAGTTTACCTTTAGACCCGCTCTTTGGAGGTGGTTGAAACTTCAGTAAGGTGGGTAAGATGGTTATTGAAGGAGTGAGAAAAGATGTTTAAATCATCTAAATAAACAATGAGATATTGACTAATAATATTACTGAAGATTCTATCTATCAGTCTTTAAAAAGTTGACAGAGCTTTAGTGAAGCCAAAGTATATTATATTGAGCTTATAAGTTCTGAACTACAAAATGAAAGCTATATTTTTTTATTATTTGGGTTCATTTTGATCAGCCAATATTCACTAGCCAGATCAAGTGAGGTGTATTAGGAGGAAAACTTGAGAGTGTCTAGGAGATTGTTGATTTAAAGAAGGTATAACTGTCTTTTTTTATTATGGAGTTAAGGCATTAATAATTAATGCAGAAATAGGTCTTGTCCTTCTGCTTAATTAGGATGATGGGCAAAGCCCTTGAACTTTTGAAGGGTTGAATAATATCATTATTCAACATCTGACCAATTTTCTCTTAGAGAAATTCCTTCTTCTTGAAAGAAGTTCAATAATATTATTATCTGATGAGTGAAATACTGTTAGTTTGAATAGTATGGGTAATAAGGTTGGTTTGTTCTAGTTTTTGTAATGTCTAAGCAAAAAGATTGTTATAGCCTATCAACAACTCCTCAATCTTATTATGTTCTTGTTCTCTAATTTTTCTATATTCAACTTGTAGGAAGAGTCCTCAATATCTTTGAAATAGAATTCATTATCTATCTCTTTTGCGTCTGATGGGTTGTTTTTGAAGTTTGATAAGTTACTCGTAGAACAGAAGAGGTCTTCATCTTTTCTTGGTTGTAGTTGTCATTACTATACATATTCCACTAGGCCTCATATGATTCCAACCTTTTGGTTTTTCTTTAAATTAAAAGACTACTAACTCATTATCAGAGTTAAAATTACCCAAAGATATTTCATCACCATACTAGTATACGAATAGTTGTTCTTCTTCTTTTGAGTACTTGATGAGCCAATCTTTAATTCTTCTTCATACTACTTTCAGTTTCTTTATCTAAACCCAATCTTTGGAACCTTTATCTTTTCTAATGAGGGTAAAGTGACTTTTAGAAGATGGTTGTTTTGAATAGGGTATGTTGGAGTTTTCAAAATTTGACAGAGATAGTGATTTCTTTATTCTCCTACTAGAAGAACATTTTGGAAGTAGTGTAGTCGATTTTGGTGTTAACTTGAGAGAGCCAATTATTTCAAGTGATTGCCTTGTAGGATGTAGTATTAGTTACAATGATATTAACCAGAACTAAGACTCCTCCAACTATAAACAAAAAGTTAAAGATCTTTTCAAAAGCTCATTTACTTTGAATGTGCATATAAACCATATTAATGGTAAATAGTTGTTCAACTTTAATTCCCATCTCACTCAGCAAATAAAAAAAGACCACACTTCCAGAGAAACCACTATTAATGATAAGAGATATGACTCTATTATGAACAGTAGTATTACTATACAGAGCAGTAAACTTGGGAGTTAGTTAGAGTTTGACAAAGTTGCAGGTTCTTTTGGTGCAAGCTTTCTTCTTGTGCAGCTTTTAAAAAACTTTGTCTTATAGAAGGGATTGCTCTTATTAACTATTTTATAGTAATGTTAGCTAGTTTATTCCTAATATCTGCTACAATAGAATATAGAGAAACCAAGGCCAAAATTTGGGGTGTATTATTTTCAACTTTCTTTTTCTTGGGGCTCATCTTTAGTACTTTGGTTGTTTTGGTGGTCTGGAGAATAGTTGTAACAGAGACTATAACTTTCTGTTCATTTTTTGGTTTCTTTGAGCCAACTCTCCTATATAGTATCATTTACTATAAGTATGCTGAGAGGGTTTCTCAGATTCTTTAGCAGAGAATAATAATAGGTCACCAATCTCTTTGTAAAGAATTAGAAATGTCTAGACCTTATTCTCTCTGTTATGGATTGGGGTACTATTAATAATAGTATTATTATTATTATGATTAGCTGGGGTTGTTGAGAGCTCTGTTATTCTGTCTAATTAGGATTGCATTGGCTCCAGTGGCTATATTGTTTTGAGGATTTTAAAGAGGAAAGATGGGGCAGTTCCAAGTATAGTATCTAGCCTGCTTATAGTAGTTATAGATGAATCAGTTGTTGTTGTTCTAGTTGTTGGAACCTCATTATTGGGTTTACAATTTTCTTGCAATTTTGCCACCATGTTGGTGATTGCCTCTGTTAGCTTAATAAGAGGATCTTTAGGTTTTAGAACAGAAAGCAAAGGGCCTAAGATAACAAAAGAAGGTACAATCAAGTAGGAACCCACTTGGTACAGTTGAGGCAGATACTGAAGATAAAGGTTATAATTAAACAGATTTTGTTAGAACAAGTTCTCAAAGGCCTTGGCTCTCTTATAAGCAGCTACAAGTAAGTTAGATATAAAGAGTACAATAGAGATCACAAGTTCATTTGAAGGCTATTAATAAATATTTGGCCTTAGCAGTATCAGAATAACAATAACCACCCAATTCGACCTGTTGAAGTAACTCTTCAATTAACATGTAGTAAAAATTAACATCTTGGGTAGGGCTCTGTTTTCTTTGTATAAGTTGAATAAACCACTTGCTTTTAAGAGCAGGGGTTCAAAACTGGGTTATGAAATAGGGACAGAAACTCTGATCTGAGTAGTCATAGTCATTCTAACAATTAATAGCAGGACAAATAGCTTTAACAATAAATTACCAAGTGGCTATGATGCCTCTCAAATAGAGAATGATGACAGTATTTTTTGCTAATCCTGCACTTGATTAGCTTCAAATCTTTTTTCAATATCTTCTAACTAATTGATGGGGTTCTGTTTACCTTTAGAGAAATTTGAGTAGAATACCAGATTAAGCTCTCAATTTTGAATATCAATGTTGATAGCTGGGATATTAATTTGAAGTACAGGGGCATATTATATCTGGAAAACAAGTTTTTTGATCTGCTATTCAAGAAGAGTTATAAAGTCATTCTGAAGTTATTATTATAGTTTTTATAGTTATATTGGAGATTAAGAATAGGCTTATCAAAGTTGAGCTAGTCATTGTTATTAGAATTAATTAAAAGAGATATATTGATTTGATCTTTATTATGAGCTATATTGTTATCATATTTTGGTTAATCATTAATATAGTGGCCAATATAAAAATATTGTAAGATTATAATATATAAAAATAACTATTTGAACTAATTTAAGAAATTTGTAAATAGTTAGAGTTAGGGTAAGAGTTATAATATAATTTATAGTTAGATTAAGGTTAGGGTTAGAGTTTTTTTATATTATAATCTTATAATATTTCTATACAACCTATAATTCTATTCTTATCTATATATTCCAAAAATACAATAACTATTTCCTTAAAATTTTCTTTCTAGCTCTACTCGAAACAATCTCAAATATACCTTTAGCTACTATTACAATTTTACTACTAGTATATATAGACAACACAGTATAGTAACTCAAAATTTTACAAAATATTCGTAATAATGCTTTTGCCTTGTATGAACTTAATAATATTAAAGTTAACTCAGCCAAATCTGATTTACTTTATATTCTTCTAAAAATTCCAGAATACTAAACCATATATTTTCATACAACAATCAGATAATTACACTCAGAAAACCTAAAAATATAATTAGATATCTAGACATCTTTTATAATAGCAAAGGGTCAACTAAACCAACTCTAGATATTCTATATACCAAAATAGAAAACTTTCTACTCTTGATTAGATATAAAAAATTATTACTCTCTCAAATATCCTCTTTTTTTAACCTTATACTTCAACTCTCTTTAAAATATCTTCTACAAATTATATCTATCCAAAAAAATATACAAACTAAACTCTCCTAACTATTATCTATACAAACAAAAAAGATACTCTTCTTAGCTAAAAACACTAACAATATCTCACTTATTATTTACTTACTTTCAACCTACTTATCTTTACTAATATAATCCAAAAAGTTAACATATCCAATATTGAATACACCTTTAATACCTTTTTACTTCTCTATAATATTGACTTTCTTCGAATTAAATTCTAGCTATCAAAAATCTGGTTCCCAAAACTTACTAAAGAAATTTTTCTCACACATTATTAGAAAATGTAAAACTATACTCTTTTTTTTTTCATATTTTACAACTGGCAAGAAACAATATAACAATCTCTCTGCTCTCTTAAATCACAAATTATTCTTCTTTTATTTCTAAACACTCTCATTTAATCTATCCCTTAAATTGTAACACAGGCAAATTTGCCTGTGTTTTTATTAAAAAGTTTAATTTTTTTAATAAAAACTT